GAGGTCCGCCATGTCCTCGGCGACGATCTCGACCTGGAAGGGCTGGAAGATGGAGTGGATCGCCGCCTTGTGGCTCGCGACGGTGCCGCGGACCATGGGGCTGATGCCCGGCGGGAACCAGGTGACGAAGACGTAGACCGACTGGTGCACGGTCGTCCCCGCGGCCTCGCTGAGCCGCTCCGCGCCGTAGGCCGCGAGCGCGTAGCAGACGTTGTCGGCCTCGAGGAAGCCCCGGAGCGCCGAGAGGCCGCCGACGCCGTGCGCCAAACGCTTCACGATCTTCTTGCCGCTGTAGGCGTAGACGAGGAAGTCCTCGTCGCCGCCGTGGAGCGCCGTGACGTCGCGCTGGATCGTGCAGCCGCGGTGCTCGTCGTCCTCGACGATGGTGAGGGGCTGCGGCGCGGCGACGTGGAGCGACCCGCGCTTGCCCGTCGACACCTTGCTCCCGAGGCGCTCCGCGATGGTCACCTCGCCGTCGCTGCGCGCCTGGACCTTGTCCTCGGACGCGCGGCCCCTCGTGAGCGTCCGCGCGCGGCGCTTCATCGTCTCGTCGTCCTCGATGTTTTTCGTGACCACGGGCTCGTGGCTCCGCTTCTCCGCGGCCTCGTCCTCCTCGAGCACCATGGTGCCCGCGACGGCGGCCGCGACGTCGCCGGCGAAGGCCTCGGCGAAGGCGTTGCCCTGGCCCAGGGGCTGCCAGCCGAAGAAGCAGGCGACGAACTCCGGGGGCTCCGCGCCCGCGTCGACGAGGACCACGGAGAGGTCCGGGCAGTCGCGGCGCGGCGCCATGGACGCGCGGTGGTGCTGGCCGTGGACGCGCTTCAGCCGCGCCGTCGGCGCGGTCGCGTCGCGGTCCCGCTCCGCCGCGTGGAGCTTGTAGCAGTCCATGGTCGGCACCTCGCGCGCGTAGCCGCCGCCGACGGCCACCGCGAGCGCGGCCTCGGTCCGCGCGACGGGCCCCGCGCCGAACCAGACGTAGACGACGTCGCCGCCGCCGTCGAGGACGAAGGTGCCCCGCATGTTGTTGCCCAGGAGGTCCTGCTGGCGGAACGTGCGGCCCAGGTCCGTGACGAACATGCCGCCGACGGCGCGCTTCGCGTGCGAGACCTCGAAGAGCCGCGCGGGCCGCGTCGCGTCGGCCTTGAAGGTCCGCGAGAAGAGGCCGTCGTCGCCCGTGGGCAGGTCCTCGAAGGTCGCCAAATCCTCGAGGCCCTCGTAGAGCATGGAGTCGAGGCCGAAGGCGCCGAAGTCCGCCGGCGCGAGCGGCGCGAACGCCGCGGGCCCCGCGCCCGTCGGCTCGAGCGCGGTGATCGTCCCGGAGCTGCACGCGGCGTCGAGCCACCGCGCGAGGTCGCCGAAACCCGCGACGGCCTCGGCGCGGCCCCGCACGGCCGGCGACGCGTCGTTGCCGTGGGCCACTCGACGGTCGACGGACCCGTCCGGCGCCGTCTTGACGAAGACCCACGACGCCTCGTTCTCGAAGCGGTAGCCGCCGAGGAGCGTCTCGAGGGGCTCCTCGGCGGCGCGCACGAGCTCCGCGTCCTGGGCGTCGCTGCCCGGCGGGCTGCCCACGCGGAGCGCGCGGACGCGGCCGCCGGGCGCGTCGAAGCCGCGCGCGGCGTCGTCGTCGTCCGCGGTGTGCTCGCGGAGGTAGCCGCCGGCCGTGCGCCCGCGGAGCGTCAGGAGGCCGTGGCCCCCGAGGTGCTTGCGGAGCACGGTCACGAGGAGCGCCGGCTCCGCGTTCTGATAACAATAAAGCTGGTGCTCCGCGCCCTCCCAGCCGCAGTCGTCCTTGAGCGACGCGACGCGCAGCCCCGCGGCCGTCCGCGCCTTGAGCGACGCCGTGTCGCCCTCCCAGGTGTAGACGACGTGGAGCGCGCCGTTCTTGCAGCCGTAGCAGGCGATGATCATGTCGCTCGACGTCCAGCAGGACGCCTCGGGCCCGACGCCGTAGCCCTCCCCGCTGTTCGCGAGCTCGAGGAGCTCGTTGTCGTCGTCGACGCGGAAGACGCGCACGTAGCCCGTCTCGTCGTCCGCGAGGTCCATGGTGAGGCACACGCGGCTCTCGTCGCCGCTCCGCTCCGCGCCGCCGCTGATCCAGGCCTCGGACTCGTCGCCCTCGGCCGCGAGCGAGCCGACGCCGCCCTGCGTCATCCGCGCCGCCTCCTCCGCGACGGCGCGGAGCTTCACGCTGCGCCGCTCCTCGTCGTGCTTCGACGGCACGTAGCCCCCGATCTCGAGGGTGCCGCCCTGGTTGATGGCGCCGCCGCCCCAGCCGTAGAACCGCTCGCCGAAGAGCGCGGGCTCGAAGCGGTCGCGGACGACGTCGACACCCGCGAAGGCCGGCGGCCGCGCGGCCGGGCCCAGGGCCGACGCCGCGGCCGCCTTGGCCGCGCCGAAGCTCCCCTTGAAGGACCGCCCGCGCCAGAGCCAGGCCTCGGCCCAGGCGTCGACGAGGAAGAGGCCGTCGGGGCCCAGCGTCGACGCCGCGAGGCGCCCGCCCTCGGCGACGTCGTTGCCGCCGCCGTCCTCGCGCATGGGCGCCCACGCCGACCCGTCCCAGGCGAACAGGGCCGGGCAGCGGAGCCGCGGGTCCCCCGCCGCGGCGCCGCAGGCGCCGGGCGCGAGCAGGGCCCGGACGACGGCGTCGCCGGCCTCGCCCTCGACGGCGTGCGACGCGGCGTCGCTCGCGTCCGGGTACTCCGCGTACTGGAGCCGCCGCGACATCTCCTCGGCGAGCGCGCGCTCGACGCGGCCGCTCTCGGCGCCGGCCCAGGAGTAGGCGTGGGGCGCGGTCTTGCGCGCGTCGCCCGCGTCGACGACGTACGCGTGCTGCGGCGACAGGCTCGACGCCTTGGCCTCGACGCGCACGAAGAGGCCCTCGTCGAGGCGCCAGAGCTTGACGGGCCGCGCGGCGTCCGCGTGCTTCGCGAGCACCTCGTGGGCGCCGTCCTGCGTCTCGAAGTCGCCGAGCGCGGCCTTGAGGCCCGGGGACTCGCCGCCCTCCGTCGCGTCCTCGCGCGTCACGCAGCCGTAGCCCGCGTGGACCTCGAGCTGGTTGACGAGCTTCGCGGCCATGGACCCGCCTAAACCGCTCGCGATCATGCCGACGCCGCCGCCCTTCCACGTGTAGACGGCCCAGCGCCGCTTCCGGCCCGCGCCCGTCGTCGCGAGCAGCACGACGACGTCGGCCTTGCGGAGCACGCGCGGCGCGCGGAAGATCTCGTCGCGGCCGTCGTCGACGGCGCGGACGAGCTTCCGCCCGCGCACGCGCCAGACCTCGAGCCCCTCGTGCTCGCCCGCGCCCTCGAACTCCGTGCCCTTGAGGTTCGGGAACTCCGTCTCCTTGACGGTGCCGCCGGGCGTCCGCGGCGTCTGCGGCGTCGCGCCCGGCGGCGGCGGCGGCGGCGCGGCGGTGTCCGGCGCGGCGATGACGACCTTTTTCGAGGGCGCCGGCGCGGGCGCCGGCGCGAAGTCCGCGGGCTTGGACGCCGTCTTCTTCAGAGAGAAGGCCGGCGCCTTCGACGGCTCGGGCGCGAAATCCGCGGGCTTCACCGTCGTCTTCTTCAGCGCGAAGGCCGGCGTCGTCGACGGCTGGGGCGGCGGCGCGAAGTCCGCGGGCTTCGCGGGCGTCTTCTTCAGCGCGAACGCCGGCGACGGCGGCGCGGCGGCCGCGGGCTTCTCGGGCCGCGGCGCCGTCTTCTTCAGGGCGAAGGCGGGCTTCGTAGTCGTCTCCGGCGCCGCCGCGGGCGCGGGCGCGGGCGCCTTCGCCGCCGTCTTCTTCAGGGCGAAGGCCGGCTTCGCCACGGGTGCCGGCGCGGCCTTCGGCGCGGGCGCCGCGACCTTGGCGCCGCCGTCCTCGACGGCGAACGCGCCGAGCGCGTCCTTCAGCGCGGCGCACTCGTCGCCGTCCTGGCTGTCGTGCCGCGTCACGGCGCCGGAGCCGGCGTAGACGTTCAGCAAGTTGACGAGCTTGGCCGCCATGGAGCCGGCCATGCCCTCGGCGATCATCGACGCGGAACCGCCTTTCCACGTGTGCGCGGCCCAGGTTCGCTCGCGGCCGTCGCCGCTCGTCCGCAGCAGGAGCAGCACGTCCGAGCGCCGGAGCACGCGGGGCGTGCCGAGGACCTCGTCGCCGTCGACGGCGCGCACGAGCTTGCGCTTGACGACGCGCCAGACGGCGAGGCCCACGTCCTCGCCGCAGCCCTCGAAGTCCGTGCCCTCGAGGTTCGGGAATTTCGCGACCAAGGTCCCGTGGCCGCGGTCGCGGTTCGCCGAGAGCTTCTCCATGGGTGGTGTCGGCCGCGCACGCCGGCGTTCTGCCCGCGCGCCCAGACGGAAGGCTGCCCCGCCACACAAAAAGTGCGAGGCGAAGTTGACCAACTGGTGTTGACTCTGATGTTGACAATTTTGACGAGGCGAGCATGGCTAACTCTCTGAGCAGGGATAGACACTGAGAGTGATCAGCCCCCGCGTCTTTAAAGACGTGCAGCGCGCGCAATGGCCGCTCTCGCAAAGACGCACAAGCCGCGCACGCTCCGCGCTTTGAGCGTCGACGCAATTTTGCGGCACGTCGCGACGTTCGACGTGCCCGAGTCGTCGCGCGCGAAAGCCGACGCCGCTCTCATGGACGACTCCGGCGACGGCGCGCTGCACCGCGTCACCATGCTCAAGGCGCTGGGTCGCATCGAGCTGGCGCGCGGCTTCGTCGGCCTGCCGCGATTCCGCGCGGCGACGCGGGGCTTCCTCGCGGCCGCGGGCGCCGCGAAGGGCGCCGCCGTCTTCGACGCGCTGCGCGAGAGCGCCGCGGCGTCGACGGACGCGCTCGCGTGCGAGGCGGCGTTGTGGCTGGTCGAGGACTTCGTCGGCGCGAAAAAGCTGAAGCGCGACCGCGGGCCCGAGCTGCCCTCGGGCGCGAAGAACGCCGCGAAGCGCGCGTCCAAGGCGTGCGCCGCGCGCCTCGCGGAGCTCCGGCGACCGGCCGACGCCGCGGGCGCGACGACGCCGGCCTTCGAATTCGCCGCGACGGACTGCCGCGTCGACCAGCCGTCGCCGACGCGCGAGGCGGACATGAGTGAATACATGGCGAAGCTGAAGCTGCGCGTCCACCCGGAGCGGAGGCCGCACCTCGGCAGCGGCCACGGCTAGGTTTTATCGTCCGTGTGCTGCGGGTCGTCGGGCGGGGGGAGGTGCTTGAGGTAGACGTTGTCCCCGCGGCGCACGACCCGGTAGGACTTGTAGCCGCGGAGCGCCATGCGCGTGGAGCGGAGCACCGCGAGCAGCGACTTCAGGAGCCGCGCCATCGCGAGGAAGAGCAGCGCCCAGTTCGCCTCGCGCACGGACCCGAGCCGGTTGATCTCGCGGCCGATCTCCACGAAGGTCAAGCCGACGGCCATCGTGCCGATGGCGAGCTCCGTCATCGGCGCCTCGAGAAACGCGATCGTCCGGTCGACCCACGTCCGCTCGCCGTCCCAGTTGAAGTCCTTCGCGACCGCGTGCGCGGCGGCCGCGCCGCCCCGCGGCGCCAGCGCGCGCCGCCGCCGCGGCCGCTCGAGGCCATGGGTCGCGCACGCCGCGGCGAGCGCGAGCAGCAGCGCGCGGCGCATCGCACGGCTGACGTCGTTGCTGGTGCCGCTGCTGCTGCGCGGAGCTGCAGACGATGAATGCAGTTGCAAAGCGATGCGACGCTCAGTTGCAGACCCACTTTGACGACGAGAGCGGTCTGCGCGGGATCTATGCAACACCACTAGACGACGACGAGCGCTCTGCGCGAGATCTCTGCCACAGTCTCGATTTAGCGAAGGTCAACAACTCCTCAAGAAATCTTTCGCATCACCGCTCCATGGAAATCAAGGAAATCGACGGATCGGGGCAGCCTGAGTACCACGCTGCGGCGAGCTCGTGTGCTGTGACGAGTGCCGCGGCGCGGCGCGGCGCCATGGGCGCGCTCCGGTCGCAGCAGCGCGCGAACCTGCTCATGGGCTGGGGCCTCTGCGCGACGGCGCTCACGAGCAAGCGCGGCGCCAAGTTCGCCGCCGGGCTCCTGCTGGCGCAGCTCGGCGGCGCGCGCGGCGAGGAGGCGACGAACTCGACGGAGACGGAGGAGGGGGAGGAAGAGGAGGAGGAGGACGACGAGCTCGAGGGCAACGAGGCGATCGAGATGAAGCTCCAGTGCCTCGTCGTCATCATCACCGTCGTCATCTTCCTGTCGCTGAGCTTCGAGTACGGCCGCGAGCTGCTCTACTCGAAGACGAGCGAGCACATGCGGCCCATCCTGACGTCCATGTTCGGCGAGCTGACGACGCTGGGCTTCATCTCCGTGACGCTCTTCGGCATCTTCAAGATCCCCGCGATCGGCGACCTCTCCTCGGACTTGTTCGGCGACGAGGAGGACGACGAGCTCGCGGAGCTCGGCGAGACGGTGCACATGGTCCTGTTCCTCGTCATGGTCATCTACCTGGGCCAGGCCATCGGCCTCGTGAGCCTGGGCCACTACGTGCAGATCCAGTGGCGCGAGTGGGAGACGCAGCCCATCGAGCGGCTGCCCAAGTCCGTCGTCGGCTTCTCGGAGCGCATCGCGAAGCACAACTACGCCGTCAACCTGTGCTACAACCACCTGCCGACGGCCTACCGCATCCTCGTCTACAAGGCGACGCGCGACCACTTTGTTTATCACCAGATCACGTCGCAGGCCGGCGACGACGCGGCCGCCAAGACCGCGGCCTTCGACTTCTCCAACTACCTGAGCGTGTGCCTCGGCCACACCATCGCCGAGCTCGTCGAGATCCCCATCTTCACCTGGCTCTTCTTCGAGCTCCTGCTGATTTTCGTCTGGGTCTTCATTCGCTCCGCGAGCCACAACGCGGGCTTCGTCTTCTGGGTCTGCCTGGGCTTTTTGAGCGGGCCCGGCCTGGCCTTCGTGCTCCACGCCAAGGTGCGGTCCATCGTCCAGATCCACTGCGCCGAGGAGATCCGCAAGTCGCTCAACGCGCAGACGCGGCGCCACTCGATCAAGGTCTACGGCGCGACGACGCAGCAGCGGCTCCACGAGGACTACCCGTCCAACTTCTGGTTCGGCAAGCAGACCAAGGCGGGCTTCACGCTGAACCTCGTGCGCATCATCGTGCTCTGCCAGTCCGTCTACTGCGCGGTGTTGATGGTCGTCTTCGCGGAGCAGATGTTCGAGAGCCCGGGCCACTGCAAGGCCGCGCAGGCGGCCATGCTCTGCGACACGTCGGACGCGACGGGCCTCGTCTACCTCGCGCTCTGCCTCGTGCCGCCCTTCATGACCATCTCGAAGCTGCCGCGGATTTTGGAGGACTTCACGATCGCGTCGAACATCGACAGCATGGTCAACAACCGCATGCTCTCGAACGTGAACCGGCGCCAGAAGACCGTGGCCGCCTTCGAGGCGCTCAAGGTCGTCCAGTGCCTCAGCGACACGCAGATGCTGCGCCAGGTCATCGACGGCGGGTCGTCGACCGGCGACGCCGACTGCCGGGCCAAGCTCGCGGACCGCGAGGCGCGGCTCGCCGCGCTCTCCAAGCACGCGCGGAAGCAGCTCGAGGCGCGGCAGCGGCGCCACTGGCGCCACGTCTTCGACATCTTCGACGACGACGGCTCGGGCGCCGTCACCACCGCCGAATTCCGCGAGCTGCTGACCAAGTTCTCCATCAACAAGGTCAACGCGTCGCAGATGGATATCGTCGACGGCGAGCGCGTCTTCGCGGAGCTCATCTCCTACCTCGACCAGGACGGCGGCGGTACCGTGGAATTCGAGGAGTTTTTGGCCTTTGGGTGCAAGCTCGAGGGCTTCATGGAGGCGTCCGAGGACGTCGAGGCGATGAAGGAGAAGATGTTCGATTTGATAGATAAGGACGGCGGCGGCGCCATCACGCTCCAGGAGCTCTACAAATTGATGGTCGACGACCTCGGCGTCGAGATCTCCATGGACGACGTCTACAACATCATCGCGGACCTCGACGAGGACGGCAACGGCGAGCTCGACAAGGAGGAGTTCTCCGTGCTGTTGGACCGGCTCCACATCTACGACACGTCGACGCTCGACGAGGTCATCGAGGACGAGGACGTGGGCATCGTGAGCGGGCTCGCCGACAATTTGTACGAGCGCCTCTGCTACTGCCTCCTGCCGTCGGACCCCGAGTCCGACGGCTACGTGAAGCTCGGCGACGAGACGCCGCTCGCCTAGGAATTCAACAAAAAAAAACACGCGCGAGGCGGACCGCGGCCTGCAGCGCATACTTTAATCTCACTTCGCTACCTTATTGAGGGACCAGTCGTAGGGGAAGTAGCGCAGCGCCGCGCCGCCGTCGAGCGCGCGCGCGGCCGCGGAGCCGCCGTCGACGTGGTCGCGGACGAAGGCCGCCGCGCCGCCGCGCGTGTCGAAGTCGTCCTCGAACCAGAGGCAGATGCGCGACAGGCGCGCGACGGCGCCGCCCCGCTCCGCGGCGCAGCCCTTGGACCCGTCCCGGAGCCACGACTCCGCGCGCGCGCGCATGTCGCGCTCCAGGCCGTCGCCCGCGAACGCGAAGCGCGCGAGCGACGGGCACGACGTCGACGCGCAGACGATGCACGCGTGGAGCTCGGGCTCGTCCCAGCGCAGCCGGAGCCGCTCGTGCTCGATGTCGTTGAGCGACACGGCGACGCCGCCCACTTCGCCCGCGACCTTGTCCCAGATCGGCGCGTCCTTCTCGCTCAAGTCGAGGATCGACTTGAGCGTGCCGTGCACGGGCAGCACGTGCGCGACGCACAGGGCGTTGTAGGCGTTGAGGTGGAGCGCGAGCTGCTCGCGGTCGCCGAGCGCGTCGACGTCTGCCGCCGCGAGGGCCGCGAGGTACCCCCGGAACGCGTCGCCGTCCCGCTCGAGGCCGCCGTAGTCGACGGTGCCGTCGTCGCGCACGTGCGCCTTGAGCAGCGCGTCCCAGGCCGAGTGGTCGAAGGACGCGCCGCCGGCGAGCTCGCTCGCGAGCGTCTTGCGCGGCGCCGGCGCCGCGGCGACGGCGGGGATCTGCTGCGACGCGACCTTCTTCTCGAGCTTCGCGTAGGGCGTCGCCACGAGCGACTCGACGGCCGTGAACAGCTGGAGACCGTTGCACATCGTTATTGCGCCGCCGAGCACGACGAGCAGGCGAGGTTTGATGGACATCGGCTCGCAGCGAGTATCTGCAGCGAGTGAGCCGTTGATGACTGCATGTTTGATCGGTGCAGCCCAAGGTGCACCCGATGAATCCCGGGAAGTTTTGCTAGGACGATTGGAGAGCTGGAAGCCGCGAATTATGACGGCTTCGATATGACGATTTATGTCGCTGCGTTGCGGGACGCGCACCCGAGCGTCGCCTATCACAAAGCGGCCACGTTGGGGGAGTTGGCGGCCAGAAGCCAATGGCACAAGGACGCGATTCGGAAGGAAGGAGGCATCCCACTTCTCATTGAGACACTGGAGAGGGGGTTTCCACACGCGCACAATGCCGTGGGGGCGATTTGTAGCCTCTTGTGCGGCAACGCTGAGAACAAGGTCGCCATCCGGGAGGCTGGCGGCATCGAGGCGCTCGTCGCGTTTGTCGAGAGCGGTCGCAACAATACAATCGATACCGAGTTAGCGCTGCGGAAGCTCGCGCACAACGACGACGAGACTGCGGTCGCGATCGCACTTGCTACTGGCCGCGTTGAGGCCTTCGTCGGGCTCGCGCGGCGAGGCATCGTGTTCATCGGCACCCGGTCACCGGGCCGGGCCGTCAAGATCTATGGATATCCAAATTCAATGGCAGGCGCCGGCGCCAAGCGGAAAGCCGCGCTCGTCGTCGCCGCGCTGTTGCGCGACTTCCCCGTCCCGCGCGACATCAAGGCCGTCGTCGCATCCTATCTTTAGGGCGAATTCTATAGAGCCAAATACGTCTAGGAACGCCTAAGATAAGCTAGATTACGACGATGACGACTGGGCGCGGGGCTTGGGGAAGACGACGCCGTCGGCCTCGCAGTGGGGCCACTCGAAGGAGTCGTAGACGTACGGGAGCTTGTAGTCGCTCGGGTTCGAGTACTCGAAGATCTCCGCGTTCGTCGCGAAGCGGCGCACGAAGCGGCCGCTGCCGGCGTCGTAGTGGTCCGTCTGGAAGACGGTGAGGTCCCAGGGGTGGTGGCCGTGGCACTCGTAGTCGGGCTTGGGCGTCGAGCAGTACGCGGAGTGGTCCGAGGACCCGAGCCACGACGCGTCGGACGCGTTGCCGTCGAAGGGCTTCACCAGGCGCCGGTACTGGGTCAGCCGGTCGAGCGTCGGGTGGATGGGCCAGAACGACACGTCGAGCGGGCTCGCGGCCTCGACCTGCTCGCCCGGCGACCACGGCGTCGTGCAGAGCACCTCCAGCACGCGCGCCCAGCCCGTCGCGTTCAGGTCGTCCAGCCAGGAACCGTAGTCGCGGTCCATGCCCCGCGAGAAGAACGCGCGCTCCTCGAAGGACGCGTTCGCGGCGTTCTCGACGCACCGGAGGTGGCACGCGGCCTGCGGCGCGTCCGACGCGCACGACTCCGGCACCTCGGCGAGCATGTTGCGCCAGAGGTTCTTCGGCACCTGGAGAAGCGCCAGCTCCAGCGACCCGACGCCGAGCGGCGTGATGACGTCGTCCAGCCGCGCGTGGACGTCGCCGCAGTTGTCGTAGCCGCCGACCATGAAGTGGACGCCCCCGTGGGGCGCATAGGACGCCGCGTTGGCGAAGCCGTACCAGGACGCCGTCGCGTCGCTGAAGGCGAGGTCGTAGTGCGTCGCGCACGACGGCCAGTCGTCGAGGGCGAACGTCGCGTCGCAGAACGCGTGCGCGCGCGTCACGAAGGGCGACTTGTTCACGTTCCAGGGGGCGCGCAACAAGCCAAAGGGGTTCTGCACCGACGAGGCGACGTCGCTCGCCGCGGGCACGCGCTGGTAGGCGAAGCGGCCCTCCGCGACCGCGTGGTTCGAGCCCGTCGCGGAGCCGAACCAGTCCGCGCGCCAGACGTCGTTCTTCGCCGGGTCGAAGAGGTCCTCGAGGGTCGACGCCGCGGACCGGTCCTCCGTGAAGTCCCAGTAGGGCACGGCCAGGGACGCGTCGATGGTCTGCAGCGACGTCTCGAACGCGGACGTCAGCGCGACGTGCTGCGTGAGGAAGCCCACGCCGTCGTGCATGTGGTCCCCCAGGCGCTGGCCCGCTTCCCTCAAATGGACGGCCGTGAGCTCGTGGGCGCTCACGTAGCCCGCGCCGAAGCTGCGCCGGCCCGCCGTGCCGTTGACGCGGAGCAAGGTCTGGAAGCCGTCGAGGTACCGCGTCCGCTCGGACTCGCTCAGCGCGCGGACGTTGCGCCGCACGTAGCGGCAGATGAGGTTCGCCTCCGCGGCGACGTGCGTCGACACGTCGCCGAGCCAGCGCGCCGTCGCCACGTAGGACCCGACGCTGTGGAAGACGAGCACGATGGACGTCGAGCCGAAGCGGCCGACGTACTCGCCCAGCTGGAGCACCGCGGACGACTCGCCCATGTCGTTCTGCTGGACGACGGTCCAGGCCCAGGTCTCCGGGTCCGCGGACGCCTCGTCCGGCGCGCCGTGGACCGTCAGGTTCGTCTCGACGTGCGGCTCGACGAGCGCGGCGCCGGACGCCGCGAGGAACGGGTAGATCTCGCTCGACCTGACCGTGGACCCGGCGTCGACGACGCGGCTCGCGCGCACCTCGGGCGACGAGCTCGGCGCCGCGCTCGTCGCCACGGCGCCGCCCGCGCCGCTCTTCGTGCCGCCCCGCGTCTTCTGCGTGCCGGACGTCGACGCCGCGAGGCTGCCCATCGACGGCGCGCCGCCGGTGAAGGCGACGCCGGCGCCGCCGCAGAGCGCCGCGGCGACGGCGCAGACGGCGGCGACGGACCTCCGCCGCGCGGGGCGCCGGGCCGCGCCGGCCCCGACGAGGGGCCGGGCGTCGGCCATGGCGCCTGAGTCGTGCTCGAATGCGGGCTGCAAGATATAGAGACCATAATATAATATTATAGAGACCAAAGTTGCCCCACGAGGAGGCTGCCCGATTTCAAAACTCGCTCGCGATGCGGGCGTCCCAGGACAACCGGCGCTCCTTCATGCGGGAGGCGCTCAAGGACTACCCCGTGCCGTCGAAGGTCGAGCTGCAGCACCTCTGGTCCCGCTACGACTTCAACGGGAACGGCATGCTGTCGCTGGCCGAGATCGACAAGCTCGTGTCCGAGGAGTACCCGGAGTACGACAACAAGCAGGCGCTCCTGCGCGCCTACAAGTTCGCCGACGTCGACGGCTCCGGCTTCATCACGAAGCGCGAGTTCCCGACGCTCGTGCGGTCCATCGCCTACTTCAAGGGCCTCGCGGACGAGTTTGCGGAGCTGGACGCGTCGCACGACCGCCGCGTCGACTTCTCCGAGTTCCGCGCCGGCGCGCCGCGCATGGGCCTGGACCTGAGCGACTCCGAGGCGCGCGTCATCTTCCGGAAGATGGACGCCGACGGCGGCGGCCTCGTGCTCTTCGAGGAGTTCTGCGCCTTCATGGGCCGGCTCAAGGCCGAGCACAAGGACCGCCACGAGGCCCGCGAGGCGCGGGCCCGCGGGGCGTCGGCCTCGGGCGACTACGCGCCGCGGGCCTCGGGCGACTACGCGCGGCCGTCGCCGCGCGCGGACCCCGCGCCGCCGCGCGCGTCCGTCGAGTCCGCGCGCGCGTCGCGCGACGTCCCCCGCGCCGGGGCGTCGCCGCGGGGCTTCGCCGGGCGCAGCCCGCCGGCGTCCGCGAGCCCCGACGCGCCCCGGGGCGCCGCGCCGCGCGACGACGACGACCTCGGCGTCGCCGACGGCGACGACGACGACGTGCTCCAGGCGTCGCTCGCGACGACGGTCGACGGCGACGCGGGCCGCCGCGTCGCCGAGTACCTCGCCGCGCGGCGGTCCCAGCCCCAGCTCCACTCGCCGCCGCCGCCGCCGCTGACGACGCTCCCGGAGCGCGCGCCGCCGCCGTCCGCGCCGAGCAGGCGCGAGCTCGAGGCCGTCTTCGCGCGCGCGGACGCGGCGGGCGCGGGCGCGCTGGCGCCCGGCGACGTCGCGCACGCCATCGCCGACTACTTCCCCGAGCTCCACGGGCCGGCCCTCGACCGCGCGCTCCGCCGCGGCGGCGGCGCCGTCGGCCGGGCCGAGTTCGTCGCGCTCGCGCGGTTCCTCGCGTACCACGAGGAGGTCTGGGAGGAGTTCGCCGACGGCGACGAGGACCGGAGCGTGCCCTTCGAGGAGTTTCTGCTCGGGCTGCCGGGCATCGGCGTCGCGCTCGCGGACGACGACGCGCGGCTGCTCTTCGAGAAGATCGACCCGGACGGCGGCGGCCTCCGCGCGCCCTTCGCGGCGATCTGCGACTTCATGGGCCGCTACAAGGCGGAGCGGCAGGACCGCGACGAGGCCGGCGGCGGGTCGCTGCGGGGCAGCCGCGACTCGGGCGCGAAGCTGGGACTGGACGGGCCGTTCGCGGACGACGCGCGGATCTCGCTGTCGCCGACGGCGATCCAGCGCCGGTCCCCGGGCCCCCGGTCCTCGCCGGGCGGCTCCCTGCGGAGCAGCGCGCGCGCGTCGCCCCGCGCGAGCGGGGGCGACCTGCCGTCGCCGGGCCTCTCGCGCGGGTCCGTCGCCCGCGCGCCGTCGCCCGCGCGCGAGACGCCCCTGGACCTGGACCTCCAGTCCCTCGACGACCACCTCGACGACTCGGACCTCGACCTCGCCGAGCCGCCGCTGCCGCCGCCGTTCCTCCGCGCGTCCGCGGACCGCCTCTCGCCCGTGCCCGAGGCCGCGCCCGCGCTCACTCCCCCGCCGCCGCCGCTCACGACGGCCATCCCCGAGGCCGTCGGCCCGACCAAGGCCCGGTCGCCGGCGCCCGTGCGCGGCGTCGCCACGTCGACGGCGTCGTCGCTCGTCCGGGGCGGCGTCGCCGCGTCGGCGGCGTCGTCGCTCGCCGCGGCGCCCGCGCGGCCGGCCGCGAGGCCGTCGCCGCCGCTCACGCTCTGCTACCACGGCATCGAGCTCGCCGTGCCCCACAGCGACGGCACGCGCCTGGACGTGAAGCCCGACGGGTCCCTGCGCCTGCGCCTCTCGAACTTCTCGGGCGACGTGCTGCTGACGAAGCTCGAGGGCGCCGCGTTGACGCGGTCGATGATGGTCGACGAGTCCGTCGTCGCGCGCCGCGAGTGGCGCCGACGCCACGCCGGGTCGTCACGGCCCGAGCGAAATGCCCGGGGCCGCCGCGACGACCGGGACCGCTGGAGCCCGCTCCGGAGCCCGCCGGCGGCCGCGCCGTCGCCGGCCGCGCGCGAGGCCTTCGACGACGAGCCGCCCCTCGCGCGGTCCCGCGTGGACCTGAGCCGCGTCGACCCGCTCCACTCGCCGGCGCCGAGCCAGGCCTGGGACGACGCGCCGCCGACGGCGCCGCTCTCGTCCGCGCCGCCGTCGGAGCCGCCGTCGGAGCCGCCGTCGCCCGCGGCGCTGTCGCTCCACGGCCGCGCGATCCCCAAGCCCGAGCCGCGGCGCCGCGCGCCGCCGGCGGCCGCCGCGCCGCGCCGCGCCGCCCGGCCCGCGCCCGCGAAGCGGCCGGGCTCCGCGGCGGAGCGGCCGGGCTCCGCGCGGAGCGCGGGCACGCCCGCGGACCTCCCGCTCCCGCCGGGCTGGGAGAAGCGCTTCGACCCGCGCAAGCAGCGCACCTACTACATCGACCACAACACGCGCACGACGGCCTGGAAGCACCCCCTCGCCGACAAGGCCCGCCGCTCACGCGGGTAGGTGGGGCGGTAAGCTAGGGTTTCCCTTCAACGAGTCGACGTTGTCTGCGGGCAGCATCCACTTGGAGCCAATTGCTTGGAGCCAAGATTGTTATTACAGCATTCCTCGAGACACCGCCGTCTCCAACCAATCGCACCGCCGTCGTGGGCCGTGTAGAGAGACGATGGCGACCGACGAGGAGTGGCTGGCGTTCAACCCGGGGTTCGACCATGGTGAGGTGAAAACGCTCGAAAGCAATATTAGCGGCGTGTTCACGGCGGAGAAGATCGCGCACCTGACGCCGGAGCAGCTGCACGGCTACCATCAAGGACGGCCAGGTGGGCATCACGTTCAACAACGGCACGCTCGAGATCCTCGAGACGGGGCGCCACACCATCGAGAAGGCGACGCACGTGCTCGCCGGCTTCGTGTCGACCGGCCAGCAGACGCTCCGCATCGCGGAGGTGACGGGCATGTCGCTCGACAACGTCGAGCTCACCTTCGACGCCGCCATCTGCGTGCGCGTCGTCGACGCGAGCAAGGCCGTGATGATGCTGACGTCCGGCCGCGCCGACGCCGACATCGTGAGCGAGATCCAGGAGAACATCCAGGAGCGCGCCAAGCTCGACCTCTCCACCAGCATCGGCAAGAACCGGCTCAACAAGAAGCACGAGGCGACGACGCCCGCCGAGAGCCCGGAGAGCGGCGGCGGCTTCCGCTCCGCCATCCACGACTCCTTCATGGACATGTTCCGTAAGGAGATGATCAACGATTGCGGCATCGAGGTGATCAACATGGCGATCGAGGACGTGAAAATCGTCGACCACGAGCTCGCCAAGGCCCTCGCCTCGGCGGCGGTCGCCAACTCGGCGCTCGAGCGGCAGACGATCGAGGCGGAGATCGTCCAGGTCAAGGCGCAGGCCGACTCGAAGGTGGCGTCGATCGACGCCGAGGGCAAGGCGGCGGCGATGCACATCATCGCGCGCGCCGAAGCCGACCGCATCCAAACCATCTCCGACGCGCTCGGCTCGGCGTGCGCGCCGATGCAGCAGCAGGAGGCGATCCGCGCGAGCGGCAGCGCGCTCGGGGACGCGTCGACCGTGCTGCTCGCGCAGGACACCGGCGCGCTCGCGACGTTGCTCAGCGGCTCCCAGGGCGCCAACATCGCGCCCGTCATCGCGTGAGTGCCAAGAGCGGGCGAGGCGCTCTTGGCCGCGCCGTCTGGTGTGTCCCGGGCGACGGCGTGGACCTTCGCGCGGCGGGCGCGAAGTACGGACGGCGTAAGTGGCAGCGTGGTCGTGCGGCCGAAGCTCCGCGTTTAATTTAGGTCGAGTGCCTCCGGCACACGTAGACGAAGCTCGAGGCCTGGTCCGGGAGCTCGAAGGGCGCCGGGCCGAAGGGCTCGCAGTCGACGCGCGCCCAGGGCGCGGACTGCTCCAGCAGGCGCCGCGTGCCCTTCTCCTCCGGCGCGAACGTCGAGAAGCAGGCCCACGCGCCGCCGGGCGCGAGCGCGGCGTGGACCGCCCCGACGACGCGCCGCGCGGCGTCGGCGCGCGTCGCCGAATCGGCCGTGATGCTGTCGAAGGTGCCCTTGTCCACGACCAGGTCGAACGGGCCCCGGTCCGCGGCCTCGCGCGCGTCGTCGACGAGCCAGGTGCCCGGCCGCCGCCGCATGCGCTCGACGGCCGGCGTCGACGCGTCGGTGTTCGCGACGTCGCAGCCGCGCTCCGCGAGCAGCACGCCGAGAATCGACGTGCCGCAGCCGAAATGCCAGACGCGCTTCGTCGCGGTGGTCGCGAGGAGCTCCATGCAAAAGTCGGCGCAGGCTGTGGCATCGAGGTACCACTCGCGCTCGTCGTCGTGCTGCGCGTGGATCGAGTCCCAGACCTCGATGCGAGAGACGGCCATTTTGACGCGTCGTTGCGCTACGGCTTAGCCATCATGCTCGTGCCCAATTGCGCGCTCTGTCATGAGCCAGGCCACTTTCTTGTGGCAAAATTCAGTGCTAGGCTAGGAGAGGCTAACAGCTAGAGGGCCTCCCCGGGGGGGTTTGCGGCGCCAGGCCTTGCGGCACTGGGACTCCAAGCCTAGCCGCGGCTGAACACGAGCAGCCGGGCTGGCATCTAGCTCCGAGGGGCCAGGCGCGCGGGGGCTCACTCGCAGTCCGTGCAACTACCGCTTCAAGAAAACGCCGCGCGCCGCAAAATGGCCGCAAACACAGCGTCACGCGCTGGCGTCACGCTCCACAACGGCGCAGTTATGCCCTGGATCGCGCTGGGCACGTGGGAAGCGCCGCCGGGCCAGGTGGGACGGGCCGTCGAGGCGGCGCTGGCCTCGGGGTACCGGCACCTCGACTGCGCCCACATCTACGGCAACGAGCGCGAGGTTGGCGCCGCGCTGCGCGCGTCGCAGATTCCACGAGAGGAGCTCTTCATCACGACGAAGATCTGGAACAGTTTTCGCACGGACCAGCAGGTGCGGCGCTGCTGCGCGAAGTCACTCTCCGACCTCGGCGTCGACTACTTGGATTTGCTCCTCGTCCACTTCCCCGTGGGCGGCCGCCGCGCGCTCAAGGAGTGCTGGCAGACGATGGAGAGCCTCGTGGACGAGGGCAAGTGCAAGGCCATCGGGATCTCGAATTACTACGAGGACGACGTCGCGGACCTGCTTTCCTACGCGCGCGTCAAGCCGGCGTGCAACCAGATCGAGCTGCATCCGCGGCTGCCGCAGGACGCGCTCGTCGAGTACTGCAAGCGGCAGGGCATGGTCGTCACGGCCTACAGTCCCTTCGGCCGCGGCGCCCGGGGCGGCATGCTCGACCACGCCGTCGTCACGGCCATCGCGAAAAAGCACGGCGTCGCGGCGTCGTCCGTGCTGCTCGGCTGGTCCCTGGCGCGCGGCGTGCCCGCGCTGCCCAAGAGCGTGACGCCGGCGCGAATCGCCCAGAACAATTCGGACGAGGTCCGCGGCCTCGCGCTCGACGCGGACGACGTCAGGGCGCTCGCGGGCCTCGAGGACGGCGCGCGCTTCGTCGCCTTCTTCAACCACCAGAGTCGTTAACGATTATGAGCCCGCTGCCGCCGCGCCTCCAGGAGGATCGCGGAGCCGGCGACGGCGGCGTTGAGCGACTCGACGTCCGCGTGCATGGGGATGTAGACGCGCGAGAAGCCGGCGTCGTCGCCGTCCAGCAGCTCCGCCAGCTCGCGCGAGACGCCGACCTCGGCGCCGACGGCGACGCAGGCGCCGCCGTCCGCCCAGGGCGCGGCGTCGTAGGCCTCGGCGCCCGGCGCGAGGTCCGCGGCGCGGACGGACAGGTCCCAGTCGCCCCGGAGCCGCGGCGCCGCGCCGGCCCAGCCGTCGTCGCGGAACTCGACCACGGGGACGCGGAACGTCGCGCCCATGGCCGCGCGCAGGCTCTTGGGCGACCAGGGGTCCGCGCACGCGGCGCCGACGACGGCGACGGCGTCGCAGCCCGCGGCCGCCGCGGTGCGGATGAGCGCGCCGACGTTGCCCGGGTCGCTGACGCCGTCGAGCGCGAGCACGAAGGTCGGCGACGGCGGCACCGCAACCACCGGCTTCTCGACGACGGCGACGACGCCCTGGGGCGTCGACGTGTCGCAGCACGCCGCGACGACCTTGAGCGGCGCGCGGACGACGTCGCCGGGCAGGCCGTCGGCGTCGACGCCGTCGGCGACGAGCACGGTGCGCGGCGCGGCGCCGGCGGCGAGCGCGTCGCCGACGAGCCGCTGGCCCTCGAGGAAGACGAGGTTTGTCTGCTCGCGGCCCTTGCGGCGGTGCAGCGTCTTGCAGAGCTTCACAAAGTCGTTCTTCGTCGAATCGATGCGCCGCGGCGCCGCGCTTCGCGCCAGCGACCGGCGCAGCGGCGACGCGCGGAGCGGCGCGCGGAAGGACCGCGCGACGCACAGCAGCATCGCGTGAGCTGCGACTCGCATTACACCACCCTGAGCCCCATCGCCTTCAAGCCCCACTCAACTTGAACTAAACTTGCGAGCGCGCGTCCCCTTCAATAACTAGTCCAACTTGAACGTTATGGCACCGCGTTCATCCATAGGCCCTTCAGGACGCTGAGTTTGTGCGCGCTTCGGTGCGCGTCGCGGTGGGTCGCGTTGCAGCGCGCGCCGGCCATGGCCGTGAGCTCCGCGCAGCCGCCGCCCGGGAGCGGCTCGGACGCGGTGCTCGTGAGGAGCGCGCGGCGCGCGTCGATGTCGTAGGAGCCCGCCGCGCGGACCGTGTGCTTGACCTCGACGAGGTCGAGGCCGGCGCAGTCCAGATGTTCGAAGAAGAGCTCGGCGACGCAGGGGTCGTCCAAGACCTTGGCGAGGGAGAAGCGCCGCGACAGCGCGGCGAGCGCGGTCTTGAAGTACCGCGCGAGGCACCGCGGGCAGAGCAGCTCGTCGTCGACGCGGTCCGCCTGGCGCAGGAGACTCTGGGCGTCGATGGCGCCGCGGTTCAGCGCGTCGACGGTCGACGACACGTTGGCCGCGTCGACGACCAGGTGCGTCTCTCCCGCGGAGAGCGCGGGGAAGTACCACTCGACGAACGGCGCCTTCCAGAAGACGACGACGGACCGGAGGAACCAGAGGTGGTTCAGGTTCCGCGAGTAGGAGCCCGCCGTCGAGCCCGGCAGGTTGAGCACGTACTTGTACTGCGTGAAGTTCTCCTTGGCCACGTGGCCCGGGTCCGTGACGAGCGCCGGGTCGTCGCGCGCCTTGGCCATCGTCGCGTCGTAGGGATACTCCGCGCAGGCCTCGTCGCGGTCGTCGCGCGGGTGGCACCTATGAGAGTCGCGGTCAGAAGCGCGCTCGACCGACGACGGCGATTCGGAGCCGATCGCTCCCGCGACGACGACGACGATTCGCGGAACGCCATCCGCGACGATCTTTTTCCCAGGACGCCGGCGCGGCGCTTGGACAGGATCCAGCACTTGACGTCGACGGTCTCCGGCGCGCGGAGCCCCGCGGCCATGGCCTCGAGGCGCGCGTGGTTGCCGAACTCGTCGGCGCAGGGCTCCGGGTGGAGCGGGTCCCCCGGCGCGTGGTAGGAGCTGCTGATGTGGCCCCGCCAGAAGAGCCGCGGGTCCCGGCCGGCGAAGGGCCGCGTCGCCGCGCGCGCGCGCACGTGGCTCCGCACGGCGTCCCAGTAGCCGACGTCCTGGAAGTAGGGGTTCGGCACGAGCACGCCGCGCATGCCGTGGCCGGCGACCTTGGCGATGACCAGGCAGGGCGCGACGGGCGCGTCGCGGTCGCGGTCGCGGTCGCAGAGACCCGTCGAGTTGCCGCTGAAGAAGTACGCCGCGTTGTGCACGTGTTCGTGCGCGAGCGCCGACGCCACGAAGTTCGCGTGCTTCCGGTTCTTCTCCGCGCCGAGGAACCGCCGGTCCACGAAGAGGCGGCCCTCGTAGACGAGCACGCTGAACGTCGGCGCGAAGAGCACGCCCGCGAGGTAGCGCGACACGGCCTCCGTGCTCTTGGGCACCGCCGGGTACTGCGCCAGCGACGCCTCGAGGGAGGCCTGCATGCGCGCGTGGAAGTCGAGGCCCGCGGCGCACCGCAGGAGCGGGAGCAGCAGCAGCAGCAGGATCTTCCCCCCGCGCGGGGCTGCCTTCATGATCATCAGGCGGCCATAACTAATTTGCGGCAACAAGTGCAACCAGCTGACGCTTCGGGGAACGTTCCTCGAGTGCAAGCCAATCGAATCCGATCGACGCACTCGGAGTGTTCACCGCTCCTGCGCTCGTGCGGGCGACAACTTGTTGAGTATTCTCAGTCGGGGGGTGGCTGCCGAGCCGCCCCCGGCCCCTGAAGGCCCTCCGCGGCCCCCGCAAGCCCCCGCAAGCCCCCGCGCGCGTCCCCGGACGCGCGACCGAACACTTCAACAATGGCCGTCCTCTCCCCCGAGGTCCAGGCGGCCTTTGAGCGGGCCGAGGCCGAGGCCGACGGCGACACGGTCCAGCTGCCGACGCCCGCCCCGGCGGAGACGAAGCACGCGAAGAACCTGCTGTCGCTCTTCGACGCGCCGGCGCCCGAGAAGGAGGCCGCGCCGGCCGCCGCGGCCGGCAAGCCCGCCCCCCCGCTCGCGGCGGCCCTGACCGCGGAGCTCGGCGCCGCCGGGGCGGCGGCGAAGGCCCCGCCGCCCATCGTGCGCTTCACCGAGGCCCGGGCGCCGCAGCCGGCGCGCGCGCCGCGCGCGGGCGTCGCGCTCGCGGCGCTGAGCCTCGCGCTCCTTTTTTCGACGGCGGCGGCCTTCGCCTGCTCGGCGCGCGCGAGCCGGAGCGCCCGGGCCCTCTGCGGCGAGCCGCTGGCCGTGCTGCCCCGGGGCGCGCGGCGCGTCCGGCGGCGCGCGCACGCGACGTTCGACGCGGCGGCGGTCCGCGACGAGGCGAACGACACGCTGGCCTGCGGCGCGCCGCCCGCCGACGAGCGGCGGCGCCTCGAGGCGGCGCTCCTGCACCAGAACCCGGGCCTCGAGCCGGCGGACCTCGCGGCCGTCGCGGCCGCGGCGCTCGGCGCGGGCGCCGGCGGCCTCTTCGAGGACGCGGCGCCGGACGCGGCGCCGGACGTCGCGGCGGCGGGCGGCGACGCGCTCTTCGGCGCCTTCGCGGCCCAGTACGCCGAGGCGAGCCGGGGCCAGGTGCTCCACGTGCGGCGCCACGTGCTCGACCGCCTCGACGGCACGCGGCTCCTCGTCACGAACCCGGAGCTGAGCCTCGTCGACGCGGTGACGCTCACGGAGGGCGCGTCCTACGCCCACGCCTACAAGCGGCCCGACTTCAAGCCGCTCGTGACCAAGGACGGCGCCTTCGTGCTCGGCGTCCGCGACCACCTCACGCGCGGCGCGGACGAGTTCCTCCACCAAGACGCGGCCATCGACCTCAAGGACCTGGCCGCCGTCAAGGAGCGCGCGCGCCTCTCGAAGATCTCCAACAAGCTCAAGCCCAAGTTCCGCCGACGCCTGTGATCGACCGTTTTGTGTCCCTTCGGCCGCCGCTGCACGCGGCGGCCGCGACGCGCCCCCCCCCCCCGCACACTGCGCATACGCCCGCGCCGCGCGACCGCGCGCGGCCCTGTTCATCCGTAACCACACACTGGACCCCGCTAGTAGCCGACCGGGACATGCGCCCCGACGATGCTACATCAGACTAGTAACCCACTTGGACCTGCGTTCCGACCATGGCCGCCGTCACGACGACCTCGACGACCTCGCCCGTCGGCGCGCGCACCTGGATCGTCGACCCGGGGGCCGACTCCGGGGGGATGACGACCTCCAGCAGGCGCCTCGCCACCGGCGGCGGGAGGACCTCGGCGGGCTGGAGCGTCGCGCCCGCGGGGACCTGGTACGCTTGCGCGAGCGGCGCCGCCGCCGGCATCGCCGCCGCGAGCAGTGGCGCTGTCGCAACGAGCGCGAGCGGCGTGAGGGCGATGAAGTGCTGGGTGAAGCTCCCGTGCTTGCCGTAGTTCAGGTAGCCGTACTTCGCCGCGACGGCCGGGTGCGCCGCGTTCCATTGGACTGCGAGATTTGTCCAGTCCTCGGCGATCTGCCGGTTCGCTTTGTTGTGCTGCCATTGGAAGTAAAAAACGCCCCCCCCCAAGATACAACCGAGCGGGATCGAGACGAACGTGCTGCCCCGGAATTGCTGCGGGACGCACAAGGAGACGATGATGAATAGGAACAGCGCCGTGATTAACTGGCGGAACCCGCCAAAGCTCGGGAGCTTTTTGAGTGAGAGCGTCATCTTTTCCTTCAGCTCCATGATGTGCACCGTTTGCGTCGTGATGCACGCCGGAGGAGGGTGGTCATGCAGCTTACGGTAGCTGTAAGATTGCTGTTGCATGATGCGCCATTCGTTTGGCCCGAACTGCGGCGCGACCCTGTCGTAGGAGGCGTTTTGCCCCATGAGTCACGGAGCCGAACCGGACGGCCACGGAGCTGCCCCGGAAATGTCACGCGCCGCGCTGGCCATCATGCGAACAAGACGCCTACGGCATCTTGCCCCTGCCGGGCGCGCTCGCGCGAGCTGAGCCACTCATTCCCGTGTCAATGCTTCCCTCTGCACCGCTCGCGACAGCCATTTAATTTTCGTACGGCGGGGGAAACCAAACACGCACAACTCACGCATATATATATGGAAAGTTGACGGTAATAATAAACACGAGGTAACACCAGCCCCGAACGGGCTGCCTGGAAAGAATATTATACCGATGGCCGACGACGTCCGAGAGGTCACGTCGGCGTACCACGCGCACGGCGACACGGAGCTGACCCTGGCTCCCGGCGACTACGTGACCATCCTGGAGGGCGACAGCCCCGCGCACGAAGGCTGGGCCTTCGGCAAGGTCGGCGACCGCGAGGGCTGGTTCCCCGCGTCGAGCGCGGCGCGCGCGACGCGCGCCGAGGCCGACCCGTCGAGCGGGCCCGAGCAGCCGGCGCTGCGGCGCCTGCGGTCCCTGCCCGGGCGGCTCCGGACGCGCCTCAAGGCGACGTCGCGCTACGACTCGCGCGGCGAGAACGAGGTCTCGGTGGGCCGCGGCGACGACCTCGAGGTCCTGTCGCTCGCGCGCGGCTGGGCGCGTCGTCGGCGTCGCTCGGCCACACCCCGCGGCGAAAAGACGGCGCGCCCACCGCAGGCGAACGTGCGCCTCGGCGACGGCAGCAGCGGCTGGCTCCCCGAGTCCGTCGTCGGCGGCGGCGCCGCGGTCCTGTCCGCGGGCGCGGCCGAGGCCGAGGACGCGGCGGCGGCGGCGCCGTCCGCGGAGGCGCGCGCGGCGACGCGCCTGCGGCGGTCCGCCAGCGAGGGCGGCCACCCGCTATCGCCGCGCGCGTTCCTCCGCGCGGCGCGCGCGCACGCGCCCTACGACTCCGAGGACGAGAGCGACGACGGCGGGCCGCGGGTGGCCTTCGCGCCGACGCCGTCCGAGGCGCCGACGCCGTCGGAGGCGCTCCGCGCGGCCGCGCCGCTCGCGCGGCTCAGCGTCGGGGCCCTGAAGCGGCTCGCGGCGGACCGGCGCGTCGACATCGGCGACTGCGTCGAGAAGGGCGACATCGTCCGCGCGCTCCAGTCGTCCATCGCGGTGCTCAAGGCGGACCAGGCCCTCGAGGCCGAGCGCGACGCGGCGCTCGCCAGGTGCGAGGCCCTGAGGCGCGACAACGCGAAGCTCCGCGACAAGCTCGGCGAGTACGAGGAGGCCCTCGGCACGCCGCGCGCGCGGGGGCTCACCTGCGCCATCTGCTTCGACGGGCCCGTGCAGGTCGCCATCTTCCCCTGCGGCCACTGCTTCACCTGTACGGACTGCGCCGCGAAGATCCGCGAGTGTTCGCAGTGCCATGGCAAGATCGAGAAGCGCCTGCGGGTGTATATCGCGGGGAGTTAACTTGTGTGTGTTTTCTGTTTGTAGCCTTGTCTTTAGACTAGGGAACGAAGGGGAGACAAATCGATCTGCCGACGCCGATGTCCCTGCGAAATAATCACAACGCCGTCGCGCTGGATTATTTAATCTACGTCGGCTAGAAGGGACGCCGGAGGCTGGCCGGCGCCGGCAACCTGCGCGCCGATTTAATTCCATTTTAAATCAACCATAGCCATTGAATTTCGTCAACATTGACGACAACGATACCTCGACAGCCCGGTCCGCATCGCATCTCCGCATCGCTGCGCTCGACCGACGAGATGCTTGGTGAACTGTTGGACGTCCAGAGCTCCGCGAATATGAAGGGACGTGCAACGATCCCAGTGGCTTCGAGGTCCGCAAACATGTGGGCGAGGCACCTGCGAAGACGCGACATCCAAACGATTGCGAGGTGGCGCAAACGGGCAGCTTCAGGGGGTGCAGTGAGGCTCGGCAGCGTCCCCCGACCCAATTTCGGGTCGCTTTCGAGCCACAGAGCGTCGGGAATCGTTCGTCATGGGGGCCACCAGATGCTCTCGCGACAGCTCCTCGGCTCGAGTCGATTTGATCGAGATCATCTCAGCGCCTCCGACGGGCGCGCGGCGCCGCGGGTGACACGGTGCTCACCGCGCAATGAATGAGACGTTCGGTGCGCCAGTGCTAAGCAGAGACCTCCGGGAAAACATTCCAGGGGTGGCTTACCCAGGGTCTAGCGCACCGCTCGACCTCTGGAACTAAGTTGGGCCCCTCGTCGGTCGCCCACCATCGTTAACGGCCGTTCTCGTCATCCACGGGCTGCCCCGACGCGAACCAAGTTGCTCGCCATCGACCGGTGGTCTTTCCCGAGCGACTCGCAGTCGGGCCCGAGGCGCGGCATGGTCCACAGACCGAGCGCCGCGCCAAGCCCTGGAACCGCTGCATCGGACGCCCAGAAAACCGTGGTCGCAGAAGATACCTTGACTGCATGATTCTGTTTTTCAATGGCCATGGTTGGTCCAAAAACACGATGATGGCATATTAAATCATGCGCCATCTGGCAGTACGGGGACCGCGCAGGTCGCTCTTAGATTAAATCGTAGCCCGATCATCAGAAAACGGGACCTCCGAAACCATAGCGCAACTCTGACTTCGTATTAAACCCCCTCAGGCTTAGAACCTAAGATGACCTTGTCTTAAGAGTGGCGGGAGACTGTCCCCGCGTATGTTGAAGGCAGCTTGTGTTGTTGCTGACCTGACCGAGACCGGGAGGGGTCGCGTGAGAGCACCAAAGCGCACGCATGGCGCGCGAAGACGACGACATCGAAGACATCGACGACTTCGACGACGACGACGAGCAACCAGCGCCGCCGAACGCTAGCGCGCCGCGCTGGAGCAGCGGTGCGGACCTGCTGCTGCTCGACGAGGTCGAGGACGCGGACGACGCGCCGCCGTCGAAGCGCGCCACGAGTCCGAACGCGGCGCGGCAGGTCGACGAGGTCGAGGACGACGCGCCGCCGTCGAAGCGCGCCAAGACGGCGGGTCCGAACGCGGCGCAGCGGCGCGTGCTCGAGCTCGTGCGCGCGGGCGAGAACGTCTTCTACACCGGTTCCGCGGGCACGGGCAAGTCGTACACGACGCGCCTCGTCATCGACGAGCTCCGCGCGCGCTACGGCCCCGAGTTCGACCGCCGCGTGGCCGTCGTCGCGCCGACGAGCATCGCGGCCGCGAGCGTCGGCGGCAAGACGATCCACAGCGCGGCGAACGTCGGCGTGCCGTCGATGGTCAAGGACTTTGGGCGCATCTTCGCCAAGGCGGCGCCGCCGGCGGTCGGGGCGAGCGACGACGGTCCGAGGCCGATGTTATGGGCGACGCTGCGGCACCTCGTCGTCGACGAGATCTCGATGCTCTCGGGCGAGTTCCTCGACCAGCTCGACTGGCACGCGCGCGAGGTCCGGTCCTACGCCGAGCCGTACCGGAGCGAGCGCGACGGGCTGGTGGGCCGCGCCTTCGACCACGTGGGCCGCCTGCCGTGCTTCGGCGGCATCCAGCTCATCGTCTGCGGCGACCTGCTCCAGCTGCCGCCCATCGAGACGACGTACGCGCGCGAGCAGATGGCGCTGCTCCACTTCGACGCCGACGCGCCGGGCCGCGTGAGCCTCGACGGCGCGGCGCGGCGCCGCGACGACGACCGGCCGCCGGGCCACGGCGCCGGGGACGATCCGAAGCTCGTCTTCTGCAGCCGCGGCCGCGTCTTCGAGAGCCGCGCGTTCTGGGCCGCCGGCTTCGAGTACGTGCGCCTCACGGAGTGCTACCGCCAGGCGGACGTCGCCTTCAGCCGCCTGCTGGACCGCCTGCGCGTCGGCGACGCGGCGGCGCTGGGCCCGTTGAACCGCGCGTGCGTCGGCCGCGGCGGCGGCGGCCTCGCCCTGTACCCGTGCAACAAAGAGGCCGACGACCACAACGCGGCGGCCTACGCGGCGCTGCCCGGCGCGGACCACGAGCGCTACCGGGCGCGCGACTCCGTCTACGCGTTCTCGTCGGCGGAGTTCGACCACGACCTGGCGGCCGGCCCCGCGTCGGACGTCGTGCGGGACGCCTTCGACGGCGTCCTGTGGCCGGGACGATTTTCGAGAGATTTGGACAATGTGAAATCGTCACCGTCATGCTCGGTAGGCCTTCGACGACTTCCTCGCCCTCGACGACGTCGTGCTGAAGCTGAACGTGCCCGTGTTGCTGCTCGCGAACATGGCGTTCCCGCGCATCCGCAAAGAGTCGCCGGAGGAGGAGGTCGTCTACTTCTCGAACGGGAGCCAGGGCACGCTCGTGGACTGGGCGACGGCGGACGAGTGCGTCGGCCGGGCGACGGCCGAGGCCCGGAACCTCGCCGAGAAGGGCGACGAGGCCTGGCACGCGCGGTGGACCGAGGCCGCGGCGGCGCTCGACGCCGGCGACGCGGCCGCCGCGCTCCGGGCGCTGGACGACGTCGTCGCGAGGCAGAAGGCCAAGGTGGTCGCGGGCTCCGACCCGCGGGACGACTACGTCAAGGCCTCGTGCCACGTCGCGCGGCACCACGTCGCCTACGCGGTCTGGCTGATCGAGCGCGTCGCCGACGGCGGCCGCGTGCCCGTCGTGCGCTTCGGCGACGCGTGCGTCCTCATGGTCGCGGGCCTCTTCGAGCGCGAGGTCGTCGGCTACGGCGTCGCGCGGCGGTGCCAGGTCCCGCTCCGGCTCGCCTGGGCCCTCTCCGTGCACAAGAGCCAGGGCATGGGCCTCGAGGCCGTCACGTTCGACCCGGCGCGGTCCTTCGACAAGGGCCAGGCCTACGTCGCGCTGTCGCGCGTCACGTCGCTCGCGGGCCTCTCGCTCGCGTCCGAGTGCCGGCCCGCGCACCTCCGCTGCGACCGGGCCGCCGTCGACGTGAACGCGTACCTCGACGGCCTCCGGCCGCCGAAGCTCCCGGCGACGCCGCCGGGCTTCGTCGCGTCCTGGGAGTCCATGCCGCCCAAGGCCGAGCGCGCCTTCGTCGCCGCCGGCGCGTCCGGGCCCGAGGACCCGCGGCCGCCGCCCCGGTGCGCGCCGCGCGCCTTCGCCGGCCACGCGATCGTC